ATTTTTTTTTTTTTTTTTTTTTTTTTTTTTTTTTTTGAGTAATGTAATGCAGTACTGTAGCATTCTGCATTCTAAGGTCTCTAGTCTCCTTTGGATTGTGTGTGAGTTTATGTGTATGTGTATGTTGTTACCAGTTGACATCCAAAGGCTCAGTAACTACTTTGAGAAACTGAAATCTTGATTTTCTTCTTGGGAATGGCTCAGTTGTTACAAGGAAGAAAGATAATACATGAAAGGTAATGGAATGGGTGCCAGGTCTCTTACAAAGCCCATTAACTATAGGTGTACTCAGTACCTATCGTAATTTAACAAGTTTTCATTTGTATTCATATGGAGTGGTGCTTAGGTTATTATATTTTTGACACAGGCCTTTCTGGTTTACATTTTTCTTTGAAGAAAATCTTTACTTTACAGCAGTGTTTCTCTGCCCTTTAAAATCATGACTATCAGTCCCTGCTTTTTATAAATGTAAAGATCTTATGCTTTCCTTTAATGGTCCTGAAGTTGCAAAATAGTTTTTCCCCCTCAAATACAGTTACAGTACTGACTTTGCTTTTCCAAACTTTATTACTTTATTCACTTAAGAATTTACTGAGCACTTCTGCTGTGTGCTAAAAACTGCTAGAGTGAATTACTTAGACATATTGTGTGTGCCTTCTCCACATACCCCAATCACTGCTTTAAGGAAGTCAGTTATTTATATCCCCTAAAAGATTCCTTATGAGTTTAGGGGAGGGGCGGGGATGGCAGTAGTCTCCATTTATAGAATCATATTGCATTTTTTTTTTGGATTAAGGATATACCTGTTGTCCTTATTCTCCTTTTAGGGATAATAGCTATATCTCATTTCCTTTGGTTGTTTGGGAGAATCTGAATTAGAGACTCTTCAGATGAAAATTTTTTATTCCAGGTCTTACCAAAGGAACTAATATTAATCTTCTGTTTTATCATAATTCTAGAAGTGCTCAGTGGTATGGGAATGGGGGAGATGAAGATTATCTGTGGCTTCCATTGGCCAGATTTGGCCATTATAGCTCTTTGCAAAGTACAATTCTTCCTGAGGATTTCTCTGGCTGAGTCTTAGAATTTTCTGTACCTAGAACATTGCTGCACTTAACTCCTCCATTCTACTCTGCTGCTAGAGAGCTTATGAAGACTGGAAGTAAGATAGACGTACTATGTTTTTGACGACTTAAAGAGCTTGAGATGGTAGAACTAAGAAGAGCTGTCCTTCCTTTGAGATTACTTCTTGCAGGATCAGGGACTTTGTCCAGAAAGTTGTTTGACTGTCTCTAAATTTATCCTGCATGGGCTAGACACAGGCTGCCTTTTTGCCAGTCGTGTTCAGGGATGCTTCATGTAATCTACAGGACCAAAACAGTCAGGATTGGCCTATTTAGAACAGTGAGATTCATCGAATTCTCTCTCTTAAAGGAACCATTTACCTGCAACTTTTCATAGAGAAATAAATGACTTCGAAAAGTTATAATCAAAATCTATTTAAAGCAATATCCTTTTTGTTTGCTATTGTAAGTTCTTACTTTGTTGTAATGTAGAAATGCATTTGCCTTCTAACATGGTGTTTAACCCTTTCTAATCATTTGTCGAGTTCCTTTCTCAGGATACAGTTTAAGGACCTAGATTAGAATGGTCAAGTAAAGCTAAAATTATTGTGACTTGTAGAGAGATTGCCAATATTTGAACTCACTTTTGTTCAAATTATTAATTTATCTAATTATTTGTAGAACTAATAGAATCCAAGGGTTCTCACCAAGGGGAAAGAAATGATCTGAAACACACATAGTTTGGGGGTGCTTAAGGTAGTATTTGCTAGAGTTCTTTTCATCATCTAGGTATGTCAGATAGAACATTTCTAACAAGCTTAGTTTTAGAAATGAATGCAAGATTTAAACATTAAAAACACATTTTGGTTTTCTTCCACTTGGTATTGATTTCTGAATGGACAGGTATTTTATTTACTATTTTCCAAATATCTCTTTAATTTCAAAGTGGGGTTATTTTTAGTTAATGGGGAAAAAGCCAGGTTTCAAAGCTATCCCTGGCTATACTTGCAACATTTCTGTAATTGCTTAATTAAGCAGAAAATGGATGGGACCTGGCTGTTTCACATAATCTCATAAAGCTGAGCCTCGGGTTAGAGTGGTGTACTGGAGATGCAGTCCTGTCATCTGGTGTCAGTCAAACATGGCAGTAATCTTTTTGTTTGGTTTTTGTCTGATTTTGTTGTTGTTACTGTTCTGTTTTCCTTTCCTCTTTTATTGAGTTTTGCTTTATTCCTCACTGCTTTTTGACATCTACCCCCTGCCTTTTTAAAATTGCCTTTCTTTTGGCCATTTCTATGCCTTGACTTTCCCATTTTGATTTCTGTACAATCTGTTCTTTTCCTTATTTCTCTGGTGGTTGCAGCTTCTGAGCTAACAGAACGCTTCTGTCATGCTATGTGTAAAGCCTTGATTTTACTGCTGTCATACAAAACTAAACTTGATGTGGCTGTTGGGCTGTTATTTACAATTTATTTCTCTCTCTGCTGCACTGGTTAAAAGGACACTGTCAAGGTATTTTTTTCATAATTTTTCAAATCATTTTCCTCACTGTTTACAATAACCCATTAAAAGCTTGAAACTTAAATCTTTTCCTTTTGAAGATCCTCTCCATCATACATTCACACTGGTTTGTTGTTGTAGAGTTGCACCTGTATGTTGGGCTGGTGCCATTTGAGTTTTTGTCATTGAAAGCGCATGTAAAACATCAGGGGTTTTTTTGTGGGTTTTGGGGGTGGACGAAAGGAGAAAGTGTAATGAATCAAGCAGGCTACTCAGCAAACGAAAGAAACAAAAGGTCAAATTTGGTCCCTCTAACCTTGACAGTGTCCCTTTAAATATTTCTCTACCACATACCCTGGACCCTAGTTACTGAGCCTGAGTGCTGCATACTTTTTCAGTATAAACTTCCCTATTTGACTGTCACCTTAGCTGCAGAGATTTAAAGCTTATCTGAAGCAGGCCATCTACTTGACACTGGAAGAGCTTTAATCTGTACCATTTACACATTTGTGTATTGGCACATTCTGGCCTATTGTAGAAGCATATGTGATCTAGTCCCTCTTGTTGCTATAACATCCTCTTAACTAGGTATTTTAGAAGCCACACATAGAAATATCACCTTTTTGAGCTCAGGAAAAGCAATCATACACATTCCACCAGTGATCAATTAAGATCTTGTAACTATATAGATTTCATGTTGAAATGTAACTGTTTCCTTTTTGAAAGGAGAACCAGATTTAGACTTCTAGAACCATCTTTTGTAGCATCATCTCAGGAATTGCATTAAATTAGCAAGTTTCTGAGCAAAATTTCAACATTGTTTGAGTTGCTCTGTATATAACCATCACATCAGTGAAGAAAACTAACAGATAAGAAAGTAAATGAAATTCCTGACAAGAGGGTCTCTTCCATCAGCTCTCATAGCCATATAATCAAAATAAGTAGGGATGCCACCAAGAGCTCTTTTTTGGGGCATGGAGTTGAATGGGTAGGTCAGGTGATTTTGATCTACCAAGTCCTAGGTACCACCTTGATATATAAATGGCATCCAAAGCCTGATTCCTGCCTCATTTGTCAACACAAACCAGAAGATTTTTAGGTTTTCTTAAGGCTAAGTGTGATTCTCTAATTCATAAAGATATTCTGATCTCTACCATGTGTAGTCTTTTAGAACTTGATGCTTTAAATATATGGTGTCTGTCATATCTGCACTTCCAAAGAAGAGTTACAGTCCTCTTCCCTTTGGTTGAGGTGAGGAGGGCAGTTACAGATTGTATTTCCCGCCAGATTCTTTTTGCCACATGATGGCTTATCATGTAGTTACTTGTGTGGTCAGTGAGGGGGTGGCAGAGGTTAGTGCTTCGAAATTGTTTAGTTGGGAAGGGCAAAAACTAAAGAATTCAAAAGGTAGAATCTTCTGCAGTGATCTTGTTGACAGTTACCTCTGATTGTAAAAGATCATTCCTCAGTCTTAGTGTTTACCAGAACTTAAATGTTGTATTTTCTTGTTACTGATTTTAGGTGGGCTGTAAAGTTGAAATTGCAATATTTTGAATCCCATTTCCCAGTTGGTACCCAGCTTATGGCAAGAGATGATAGCCTTAGACATGCCTTTTCCTTCTCTCACTGCTGCCATGAATTCAGCAGTAGGGTTTGCAGATACAATTTGCTTTGGGCTGAATTAAGCCATAGCAGAGGGATGCATGTCAACTACCTGATGATATCAATAGGCAGGGGCACAGCATGGCCAAGGCACGTGGCCTAGGCGCATGGTCTTGCAACTTGATGATCCTGCTTTGCAATCTGTTCCCTTCATCCACAACAGTGAGGAATCAGACCTTTTGGTACTGCAATTACTCAGTTTCTCTAAGAGCTTTGGATATTCAACTCTGAATTTATTGGTACCATAGACTTGTTACTCTGCAGAAGAATAAAGGTGCTAGTGTGTGTTCCTAGTAATAGACATGAGTTTCACTTCTCTCTTCTCTACTTCCACCTGAAATTCTGTTATCTTTGAGAGGAAGCAGTTACCTTGGGCTTCTTATTTTCCCATCCTGCCCTTATTCTGAAAGATCCTCAAGTATGTTTACATAGGTTTTGTTGTCTGGGACTTTTCTAGTGTGTCATTTGCATGTCAGCCCAGCTCAACTCAGTGCATGTCAGCTCAGTGCACCTTGTGCTTCATGTAACTTCCGTTAGCACCAGTGTAAATCTTGTGGCTGTTAAAATAGGTGGAGTTCCAGCTCTGAGGGCAAAAATGGGAGAAGAGGGAAATATCAGGGCCAAAACATTTCATATCTCATTTAAATGGAATTGACCACTCCATAGAAAAGAAAATTCAAATCATTGTCAAAGATTTCCCCTCTGAGGTACATATTTTGACCTTTTAAACTGTAGAACATTTTGTGTTTTCATGGATAGTTATGTTTAGTCGTTATAAGAACCAACTCTGCTATACTTCGGATTTTCAGGTTCCTAAAGAGAAAGATGAAATGGTAGAGCAAGAGTTTAACCGGTTGCTAGAAGCTACATCTTACCTTAGCCATCAACTAGACTTCAATGTCCTCAATAATAAGCCTGTGTCACTTGGACAGGCATTGGAAGTTGTCATTCAGTAAGTATTTTGATACTGCTTATTGTATAGTGGATTCTATTTAAAGATTTGCTATTTATGTTGTTTTTCAGCAAATCTTATCTGAGCTAGTTTTCACTTATATTCATGTGAAATCATTACATCCAAAAGTAAAAGCCTGAAATAATTACATGATCCTTAAGACTCCTTTCAATTCTAAAATTCATTGCTATTATGGTATTGAACTGTATTTAACATAGCCTAGAAAATAACTTGCCACCACCCAGCTGTCTTATTCTTGATTGTTGGAAGTTTCCATGGGCCTTGATGCCCTTGAATGTTTTTGATGGACATCTGTCTTGTGCTGCAAAGCTGGCTGTGTGGTCGGGACATACATACTCTCTCTCTTAGGTTACAAGAAAAGCATGTCAAAGATGAGCAGATTGAACATTGGAAGAAGATAGTGAAAACTCAGGAAGAATTGAAAGAACTTCTTAATAAGGTAAAATTCTACATTTTCTTCATAGCTGAAGAAGCTTCAATAGGGGAAAAAGCTTTTAATTTAGAAATTTTTAAAGCATTTCTGGGTTTTTTCCCTCTATGGTGAAGAACCGCACAGCTGGGACTTATTCTTAAGAAAATAATAACTAGAGAAAGGCAGTGTTTCATCTGTCAGTGTGTCACTATTGATAAATTGTTGCCAGGGGAAATATATCTTTCCTCTGTGACTGGTTCCCTTTAGCTGTTCTAAAGCTGGCCCAGCACCCTCTGCTGAATTGTAGGGTTAGAAGATCAGCTGTACTGGGGCCTGGTTCCCACTGAGGAAGACCAACAAATCAGCAGCCACTTTATTGCTGTAATTATTTCTCTTGAGGTGCCAGCATCCCCCACTTCCAGTCCCCAGTGGTGTACGTATTGAGGGCTCTTTTCTATCACTACCTTCCAGAGCTCTGGGCTCCAGACCGTTAAGTGTCCAACCATTTGTTTCTCCTTATGCTGACAGCTGCAAACATAACATCAGCATAGGGAGAAAATAGCCTCGGGGAAGTGGGGGGCCTTCATAATGCAAACTCTGGGTGTGCCTCGTGACTGGACTCTTGCCCCAGCCTCTCACTGTGCCTCATTTCTTCATCTTGTCTAATGAAGAGGTCTCCGCTCACCTTCTTCATGGATTGTGGTAAGGATGAAGAGAGAAGAGTGGCTTGAGATCTGCCTACTGGCAGGATGTCTGTGTGGCCCAGTCCTGGGCTTTAATTGTCATCCTAGTCCTGTTGTCACAAACCTGAAAATAATAGCATTAGGAATGGTTCCTTAAGGTTCTTTGTGTGATGATTTGACCTTTTTACATATTTAAAATACAGATCATGACAACTTGTTTCCCATAAGTTTAAGTTAAATTGGTGGTAGGTTTTTTCCCCTGGAAATTAAATTTCTTTCAGTACTTTGTTTTCTTTCTTTTTTGTTTTAATGGACACTCTTCACTCTCTCGTCTGTTTTAGAAGGCAGAGCCGATCTTATCTGATAGTGTTGTGATACCTCTAATGTTAAGTCCTACAGAATTTTTTTCCTGTTTTCCAAATGGCATGGTGTAGAACAGGTATTTAAGAATTACACAGTCCTTTCATTATAGCTCTGTTGTGGTGTAATAGCAGTTTAGGGGAGGAGCCAAAACTAAGGGTATGTGTAATTTGGGGATGAATTACATTGCTATCTGGGAGGGTAAATTTGTACTTTTCCTTCTTAGATGGTAAATTTGAAAGAGAAAATTAAAGAACTCCATCAGCAATACAAAGAGGCATCTGAAGTGAAGCCACCCAGAGATATTACTGCTGAGTTCTTAGTGAAAAGCAAACACAGGGATCTGACTGCCCTTTGCAAGGTCTGGTATACATACATGCCTAGCTGGTTTTACCTGGAATCCTAAGAAATAGTACAGATCTGAGAAACAGGAAAAGAGAGCGACTAGCCAGTCACAGGTGCCTGGTACAGAGAAGAGGGTTTGGTACACAAGGAGCCATGAGAACCTAATGGGTTAGTTTGTTTTAGATCTGTTTTCCTGCAGAATTCTTACCCTACCTTAAAAATCTCATTTTAACTTACTTAAATCTCACTTTAACCCTCTGTCACTTAGTTTATCCCTAACAGTTTAGAATAATAGTAATGAACATTGACTTTAGAGTCATTTGGAGTCAAACTGTCTGGTTTAATCCCTAACTTAGTATCTTGTAGCCATATGACCATGGACTCCTTAATTACCTCATCTGTAACATGGTGTTAATAATATTTAACTTGTAGGGTAATTGTGAAACTTAAATAAAATTATGTATCTAAAGTACTTATCCCAGTGCTAGAGATATGGTAAATGCTCAGGAAATGGTAGTTGCTATTATTTTTCATCCTTACTTTGTTGCACACTAGTTAAGTTTCTTCCTTTAGTTTTGTCCTTCTGCATGACCCTCCCCACCTCAAGTCTTTTTCCAGGCTCCCAATTGTAGCTTGCCTCCAAGGAGAAAAATCCCTGAGCTCTGTCCCTAGCCTTAAGTTGAGCCGCACTGTACAGGAAATACAAGTATACCTTATACCTTGTGGTACAAATGAACTAGGTGGGGAACCCTTCAAGATAAATCAGATTCACTTACTTTTATCAGGAATATGATGAATTAGCTGAAACACAAGGAAAGCTAGAAGAAAAACTTCAAGAATTGGAAGCCAATCCCCCAAGGTAAGGAAAACACAAACTTTCAGAGGGATAGCTTTTACTGTTCTTTGTGTTAGATTTAAGGGAAAGTCAAAAGCACAGAGAGATTTCATTTATATTAAATGAGTAGATTTTAAATTGTTTAATGAATGGAAAATATCTGTGAACATATGCCTACTTGTCAGGTTTCTATATCCCCTACTGTTGTATTTTAATGTGGAAGGGTGTCCTAGATACCTAAACAGATTATTTTTGAAAAGATAGTCTTTCTCCATAAGACATGATATATGGATGAAGATACAATAGATGGAAATTATCTTCTCTGAGTGGGGTAGAAAAGGTGCTGTTGCTTTAAATTTCCATAATTCTGGGTACTGTGAAGGTATTTATTTACATTGGATTTTTGACAGTGAATATTTATATAGTGATAAAATGTCCCATGTGCTGAGCTGGCCTGTTAGTTCAGATGGTTAGAGCATGGTGCTGATAACACCAAGGTCCAGGGTTTAATCCCTGTTACTGGCTAGCTGCCTCCCTCCAAAAAAATGTCCCACGTGCATCCATCCTCCACATGTATCTACGTGGTTCTGAAGTCAGGGATGCTACCCAACCTTGCTATAAAGTCTGTGCTTTATTTACAGGCAGTCCTTGACTTATGATAGATAGTCTGACTTAAGAATTTTCAACTTTACAGTGGTGCGAAAGTGTTACATATTCTATAGAAACCATACTTGGAGTATCCGTACAACTGTTGTTTTTCCACTTTCAGTCCAGTATTTAATAAATTACATGAGATATTCAACACTCTATTATAAAATAGGCTTTGTGTTAGATGATTTTGCCCAACTGTAGGCTAACGTGTTCTGAGACTTTTAAGGTAGGCTAGACTAAGCTATGACGTTTGGTAGGTTGGGTATATTAAATGCATTTTTGACTTACAATATTTTAATTTATGACCCCATTGTAAGTTAGAAGAGTATCTGTAAAATATGACAATTCTTTACAACTAATGAGGTTTTATAATGCAAGGTGACTTCATATGAAGTCTTTTCAGACAAATGAGGCTTAACTGTAATTTGCTTTATGTAGTGAGCTTGGCACTGCTCTAGACACCAGAGATAAAGGTGTTAATGAGACAGATACAATCCTACTTTTTGACTTATGATTTCTTCACACAAGGCACCGTCTGTAGCTTAGGTTCTGACACAGGTATTGAGATTATCCACATCAGCGCGTTCTGAATAGTATTGTCTTTTAATAACCCTGTACTCCCTTGTTCTTCTTTTGCAGTGATGTATATCTCTCATCAAGAGACAGACAAATACTTGATTGGCATTTTGCAAATCTTGAGTTTGCTAATGCTACACCTCTCTCTACCCTCTCCCTTAAACACTGGGATCAGGTAAATTTCCTTTATCGTTTATTTTGATGCACGTGTATGTGTTTTGAAACAGCTTTAGTAAGAGATAACATTTAAATACAGTGAAATTTATCCAGTTTAAGTGAACAGTTTGATGATTTGCCAGACTTACTTAGTCATGAACCACAACCACAACCAAAACAGAACATTTTCATCATCCCCAAAAGGTCTCTCTGGCCTCTTTGCAGCTAATCCCCCACCCTCTGGCTCCTGGCCCTGGACAACCGCTGATTTGCTTTGTCACTGTTATTTTGCTTATTCTCCAATTTCACATAAATTGCATCATATAGTATATAGCCTTTTAAGTGTGTGACTTATTTCACTTAGCATGAAGTTTCTGAGATTCATCTTTGTTGCATATATCAGTAGTTTGTTTCTTATTATTTAGTAGAATTGCATTGTATGGATATACCACAGATTGTTTATCCATTCATTGGTGCATTGGTGGACATTTGGGTTGTTTCCACTTTTTGACTATTAATAAATGAAGCTGCTATGAACATTTATGTCTTTCTCTTGGGTAAAATTGCTGGGTCTTAAGGAAAGTAGATTTTTAACTTTATAAAAAACTTCCAAACTGTTTTCCAAGTTGCCTTCCTGCCAGCAATGTATGAAAGTTCCATTTGCTCCACATCCTTACCAACACTTGGTAATGACAGTTTTTAAAATGTTAGCCATTCTAATGGGTATAGTAGTATTTGCATTTCCCTGCTGACTAGTGATATAGAGCATCTCTTTATGTGCTTATCAGACATTCATATGTCATCTTTGGTGAAATGTCTGTTCATATCTTCTGCTTATTTTAAAAAGCTGATTGTCAGTCGTCTTGTTGAATTAAGAGTTCATTGTGTTTAAAATTTGGGCAGAAGTCCTTTGGTAGATTTATGTTTTACAAATGTTCTAGTCTGTGGCTTGCCTTTTCATTTTCTAAATGATGTCTTTCAAAGCAAAAGTTTTTAATTTTGTGAAGTCCTATTTATAAACTTTTACTTTTAGGCTTTGTGCTTTTTGTATCCTGAAAAATCTCTGTCTAAACTGAGGTCACAAAGATTTTCTTCTGTGTTTTCTTCCAGAAGCTTTAGTGGAATTAGCTCTTATGTTTAGGTCTACAGCCATTTTGAGCTAGTTCTTGTGCATAGTGAGAGGTGAGGGTAGGGTTTGTATTTTTTCATATGGTTATCTAATTATTCCACCACCATCCTTTTCTTCATTTGTCTTGACACTTTTGTTGAAAATCAATTGACCGTGTAGGTGTGAGTCTCTTTATGGTTGCTCTTTTCTGTTCATTTATCTGTCCATTTGCCAATATTATTACACTGTCTTTATTATTACTGTTGCTTCACAGTAAGTCTTGAAATCAGGTAGGTTCTACAACTTTATTCTTTTTTGAAATTGTTTTGGCTATTTTAGGTCTTCTGTGTTTCCATAAAAATTTTAAAATCAGCTTGTCGATTTCTACAAAAAAAACCTTCTGAGATTTTGATCAGGAGTGCGTTGAACCTCTAGATCGATTTAGGGTGAATTGCCATCTTACCAATATTGAGTCTTCTAATCTTTGAATATAGTATATCTCTCCATTTATTTAGGTTTTCTAAAATTTATCTTAGCAATGTTTTATAATAAATTCTTGGTGGACAGGGTTTACCCATCTTTTGTTGTTTGTTTTAAGTGTGATTTACTCTTGAACTAGTGAGAAATCACAGGGCTTTTTGGGTGTTGAATGGACCAGTCTCTAAATCTGAGACTTTGGCCAGACTGTATATAGAAGGAAATATTTTCACTTAACATATTTTAGTTTTCATTATACATTTTCCTGGTAAAATTTTGACTTTTTAATCTTCAGATTATACCCTGATATTGAGGTTTGGACCTGTTAATGGTAAAAAATCTTGCAGAATTACCAGTTTCTTTATGATTTTTTATGTAAATATGAAATTAGACCATTGTAGTACATTGATTTGTCATTTGAAGTTTCAATGTATATGTATTTGTAATAGTATTAAATTTTGAATGTGGGTGATTTCAGCTGATCTGTATGAGAAGCAGATGAGTCAGTCACAAAGTAATGAGAGTTTTGCTGCCAACACAATATTTTTATATAATTCCTAGGAATTATGGTTGTTTTCCCTAAGAATTTCAAAGAAATAAGTTCATTTTGAGGATTCTTAATCTCCAGGCCAAATCTTGACTTCTTTACTATATGGATTATTTTGGGTCACTCTTTATAATCCTAGGTTGCCTTCATTTAGTTGATCAACTTTACTTTTAGAAGTCTTCCTCAACTTGAAAACCTATAAATTTAAGGAATAAAAACTGATTTTGCGCTAGGTAAAATAAAATATAATTAGGACTGTGAATCTGACATACTACAAATATGTAATATATTCAAAGGACAAATTTCTATGACATTTAATTGTCTGAGTTTCCTATATCACAGCTTCCTCCCCTCAATGGATGGTCTGGAGTTGGTGGTGTAGGACGATGATGAGAAATCCTCTATCTAGGGAAAAAAGAAATTGCCCATATCTTATTGCCCAAAGATTAGAGACATTTGATGCTTTTTCTTTCTCCTTCAGTTTCCTTTGGGCAGCTATAGCTGAATTCTGAGTGACTGATTTTTAATTTCTGCCTTAAAATTTTGACTGTTTCCACAAGCTTGTTTTTTTCACCATTTTATATAGAACCCAGTGTGAACAGCATAGATGAGATTAGGAAAATGTGGAAATGTGTTCTTTTCTCTTCTCTTCAGGATGATGACTTTGAGTTTACTGGCAGCCACCTAACAGTGAGGAATGGCTACTCATGTGTGCCTGTGGCTTTAGCAGAAGGCCTAGACATTAAACTGAATACAGCTGTGCGACAGGTTCGCTACACAGCTTCAGGTATGTCTCTGCTTTACAAGTAAAATAGAGCTCCTCCCCTGAAACAGGGGACTGATCTTTTGTTGAACATGACCTGCAGCAAGAATATTAGGTATATTTTCTGATAGACTGTTTTATATACTATGGCTCCTAGATAAAAATTTTGCATTTACAGATGATTGAGCCTACAGAGTCTTTGGAGGTTCTAACCCCCTCATTTCATAAACCAGAAAACTGAGGTGAGGTATAGTGTTTCCCTTTTGTGCATGAACTGTTTTGGTATTATAATAACAGCCAGTGAGTCTGGATCTCATCTTGCTACGTATATTTGTAAATACCAGGATTTTGTCCCCTGGGATCCAGTGGGACTCACCCCTTATATTTCACCATCTGCATCTTAGTCTTTGGATCCATTCTGGGTTTTCTTTTTTTTTTAAAAAAAAAGATGACCAGGGCCGGCCCGGTGGCGCACTGCTACAGTGTGCCACTTGGGAGCGCAGCGGCGCTCCCGCCGAGGGTTTGGATCCACATACAGACCGGTTCCCGCTCACTGGCTGAGCGAGGTGTGGGCGCAATCCCGTTGCCGGTCCCGGTCCGGTATGGGCGCGACACTGAGGGTTGCGATCCATTGCCGGACATGAAAAAAGACAAAAAAAAAGGAAAAAAAAAATAAAAAAAGATGACCAGTAAGGTGATCTTAACCCTTGACTTGGTGTTGTCAGCACCACGCTCACCCAGTGAGCGAACCATCCATCCCTATATGGGATCCGAACCCGTGGCCTTGGTGCCACCAGCACCATACTCTCCCAAGTGAGCCACGGGCCGGCCCCATTCTGGCTTTTCTTACTCACATTGGTTAATTCACTTAGGCTGGTTCCTAGTTCTGGAGCAGTCCTGTTAGTTAATATGTTGACTTTAAAGATAGAATTGTCCTGTGAGTCCTATGGGGATGACTCAATGCTTATTATTGTTGCTGGTTTCAGAGTACATTTAATTTGGAGAGCAGAGAACCTGCTGTCCATTAGCCTTGGAATTGACAGTCTCCAATGCCTTAGGATAGCTAATCACCTCCCTCTCTGAGAGCCCTCGTGACTGCCTAGGCATGAAAGGTGGAAATGTAGCCACCAGTCTTACCCCGCGTGGCCCCTTTCCAACCACTGAAAGTTTTCCTCTTAATTTTCCTACCATGAACCAGTTGGACCCTGGGATGGGCTGTAGCCATGGCTGAGGACAGCCACACACCTGGATGCAAGTTCGCCCAGTTGAGGGGGACGCTGTGGCCCAGTGGGTGGAGGTTCAGAAAGGATTAGTGATCTATGTGTGCTTTTTCAAGGGAGCTGATAAAGAACTTCTTCCCAATGGTTAATACACTGTTAAATGTGAAATTAAGTGGGATGGAAAATGGCAAATGTGTTTCTATATTGGATCTACCTGGTGACATTCTTATCATCCCTCCAGCCACCCTTGGGGGTAGAGTAAAAGGAAGAAATATATATGTAGTATCATTCTAACTTGGGAAAAGAAGGATTAGAATTTTATTCCCAGTTTGTGACTCTATGTGAAAAATACAGCAAGTGTGCTGAAGCTGGGGTTGTAGTGGAATGTGGCACTTACGCAAACAGGCGTGTTAAAGCTGGACACCAGTGGAACATATGCACAGCTAGTTGAGTTTTGAAAAATTAAAAATTAGTTTCTACACTTGTTTTCTGATATAAAATAATCTGAACTATAATTAGATTTGTTCCCTTTCATCTTCACTACATTAATCTGCACATTTTTAGGCAAGAAAATCCTGAGTCTCATACATAACTGTGCAACTGGCTAATTGACCTTGCCAAGTCACCTACATTCTGGATCTAATACCTTTTGTCTCCTTTCCCACCTTTCCACTCGAAAATTTGAAAAATACCATTCACTTCATAGTCATTAGGAAATGTTCTTAGCTGTATTTAAAAGATTACATATGTTTTAAGTATTTTGCAATGAAGAAATTTGTGCAGTCAAGAAAAACATTTCTAGGGCCAGTTAGCTCACTTGGGAGAACGTGGTGCTGACACCACCAAGTCAAGGGTTAAGATCCCCTTATCGGTCATCTTTTAAAAAAAAAGAAAAACACATTTCTTATGACCTAAAATTTATGTAGTATGTAATAAGAATAACTACTTGTATTAAAATTAGGTAAGATCCAGTACATGCATGCACATACACCAATTTTCCTGTCAGAGGAAGCGTCTAGCTGACAGTGTTGAGAAGATTTGCAGCCTTTATATAGCCTTTTGCAAGCACATGGAGAACAGTGAGAATAGCTGCTGTCATTTTCCTTAGTTGTATGGCCGCAGAAAACGGGCATACTTATTTTGTTATTCATATATATTTTTAAAATTTTGGTACACTTTCTGAGGTCAACTTTGAGTTCATTCATATCGTGACAAGCTAAGCATCACAGTGCATTCTCAAGCTAGCACACTCTGGTTTTGGTCTACATCCAATAGATCTGCATCACAGTCTTCTGGTGTCATTCTTCTCTTGGTCCTTAGTGGGCTAACTGTTGGAAGGCATTGGTTCTATTGGGACAGACATTTTACCATTTAGACCATAACTTCAGTCTAAATTTACTTAATTTTTGTAAATGGAAGGTACTTTCATTAGTCAAGAAGATCACCAGTGTATCAGGACGGTAGGTTAGTGTGGAGGTGATAATCAAGGACTCTGAAGTTGACTATGTGAGGGTTTAAACCCTGGCACCTGCTACCTGTGTGGTGTTAAGATGAGTTACTTCACTTCTACCTCAGTTTTCTTATATGAAAAATGAAGATATCAGAACCTATCTCATACACGTGCAGAATTGTAGTCAGAATTAAATGAGATAGCATGTAGATCTTATTGTGCACTAAGTGTTCATCGCCTTTATCGGTATAACTCTTATCACCAATAAGTCTTATCTCACCAACCTCTCTAGGATGTGAAGTAATAGCTGTGAATACCCGCTCCACAAGTCAAACTTTTATTTACAAGTGCGATGCAGTTCTCTGTACCCTTCCCCTGGGTGTGTTGAAGCAGCAGCCACCAGCTGTTCAGTTTGTGCCACCTCTTCCCGAGTGGAAAACATCTGCAGTCCAAAGGATGGGGTTTGGCAACCTTAACAAGGTAACTGTAGCTACCTCTCTTTACATCCCCAGTGTACAAATATCTCCTCTACTCAGTGAGGAGAGGGGTTTGCGTGTTTGTACATTTGGCTGCTCTCTCAACTATCTGTGATATCAGGGCTGAGGCCTGTCAATTGATTCTCTTCAGTTCCTGATTATAAAGTATTTGTCTATATGGATTTAGTCTTATGGGGTCATTTTGTAAATCCAAGCCTACAAAAAGAGCATCGTCATCATAGATGTCATCCTAAGTAATATATTTATAATAGGGATTTCTGGGTTTCTATTGAAAGTAGATTAGACAATACTTTAATAAAGCCTGAGGAAGAAGTACTTTTTACTGAGATATAGCTGTGCTTAAAGCCATATTGTCTGAGCCCTATCACCAGCTGATGTGCTCCTTTCTTATGGTAGGTGGTGCTTTGTTTTGATCGGGTGTTCTGGGATCCAAGTGTCAATTTGTTCGGGCATGTGGGCAGTACAACTGCCAGCAGGGGTGAGCTCTTCCTCTTCTGGAACCTCTATAAAGGTAACTGCTTTCTAGTTTTAACCTCTTTCTTATCCTTATAGGAATACAGAATAGGGAATATTCTGGGTTTGCTCAAATATATATGCCTTAATTTTTCTTTTCATTAACTTGAAAAACAATTCCTAAAATCCCTTGTAGGTACTGGAGATATGGGGGAAAAAACACCTGCCGTCAAGGAGCTCACAATCTACTGGGGGATGCAGTAAGGAGGCAGGCAGTCCCAGAGCAGGGCAGGAAGTAGAGAGACAGGCTGAGAGCCCTGGTTACTAAGAAAGAGCACATAAAAAGAAGAATCAGCTCAGCCAGGAGGGACAGGCCCAAGGAGACTCCCTGTCGAATATATTTGTCAAACTCCTACCCTCCTGTTCAATTATTTTCTTCTGTAATTGGACTACTCTTAACTCTATGTAGAGCTAAAGAAAGTATACTCATATCCTTCCTCATTCTAACAAAAGGATGTAAAACAGTAAGACATTCTAGTGCAAAGCAGTATCAAGAGACTTGGCCTTGACAACGCAGACCATCAGTTAACCAGCTTGACTTCCAGCCCCAGTGCCTTCCATTACTCCTCACTGCCTGACAGTGAAACACCAGTCACGCCTCCAGGGCCTCTAACTCCACAAGAGGAGGCACTTTGTTCCCTGAGCACATTGCTTTCTGACAGGAGCTGAGTGCTCTTTCCCTTTCCTCATCCAGGCATCCAGTCGTGTCATGCCAGCCTCACAATCTCTCTCAAACCTGTTTACTTCTCTTCTTTTCCACTGCCCACCTCCCAGTCCAAGCCACTGATAATCCCTGCTTCTGTCTTTTGGTGCCTTTCCATTGCTGAAGGAAAATGTTCAAAGTCCTTACCGTGGCCCTTACTTAAGGCCTCTCATAATCAAGCCCATCTCTGCTTCCTTGTCATGCCACCACCGTCACAACTCCCCACCCCCCACCCCCCCATACTTGACTGCTCTCAAATCCTGGAGTGCACCACACTGTTTTCTCCTTCAGGACCTCTTCATGTACTGTGACCTGGGCCACTTTTTTTTTTCTTCTGCTCCTCCTTTCCCATTCTGGCTCATTCTACTCAGCCTTCAGGTCTTGAGGTTTTGACATAAATGTCAGTATTTCAAAGAAGAGTTCCAGAACACACATACCCCACTGCCTCAAATCCAAATTAAGCCCCTGTATTTTCCCTGTGTCCTATGTCTTTCTTCATAGCTTTTATCACAGTTCATAATTATTTATCTATATGATTATTTATGTTGCTCTAATGAAGTACATAGTCTAGTTTTTTAAGATCCCCAGCATCTAGTGCTGTTCCTGTCACATATGTCTGTGGCATAAATATTCATCAAATGGGTGACTAAAGACAGTGATGGGCTTGGAGGGGCCTGAGATAGCTAAAAGGAATGTAGCCATTGTCATGGAACTGTCTAGGTGGTCAATACTAAGAATTCTATGCCTAAATATAGGGATACTTTTTAGTTTTCTTTTGCTAGTGAAGTCTGAAATGATATCTTCAGGACTGCTGTTTTTGCAGTTACATTCAGTGAAGTGCCTGTGAGTCACACTTCACTCACTGTAGTCTGCCACCTTTCTTCTTTCTGGCTAATTTCTGGGGATAGAGTTCATTTTGCAGTTTCAGAAATGTAATTTGCCTCTAGCATTTTAGTAGTGCTGCATGTCCTATCATCAGATTTCAGAGAACCAGGGATAAGGTGGGGCCTGATAAGGAGGTTCTTGAGAAAGTCTGGAATTATATTTTTGTTTCCCCAGCTCCAATACTATTGGCACTAGTGGCAGGAGAAGCTGCTGGCATCATGGAAAACATAAGCGATGATGTGATTGTTGGCCGATGCCTGGCCATTCTCAAAGGGATTTTTGGTAGCAGTGCAGTGCCCCAGGTAAGTGGGTGGCTGGAATAAGCAGGTGTCCAGGATTCAGACTAAACCAGGGTTTGATGTACTTGCAGCATTGGTTCTTGGTCAGGATAGTTTCGGCCAGAATTGAGACGTGTGTGCTGGGTTTACATAAATATTGTCTAGAGTTCATGCCCTAAGTGTGGGGTTCAGAAAAGCCCCCCAGTATATGGACTGAGGGATCTGAAGTCTATTAGCTGCATTTCTCCTCTGCCTGGGGAGTCACACCACCCTTGCTTTTTAGACAGTGGCCAAATTCCAGTGGATATTTCAGGGAAGTCTTAAGACAATTTCTGCGTACTTTTTCTTTTAGGCCCATTGAAATACTTAAAGCCCCTTATGGTTCCTTTGAAGGGATTGTGTATTGATGCATGTGAAGTTACTAAGGCCTGTGTAGATCTCTGGATTCATAGACAAGGGGGCAACGTGGACTTTCCTTGCTGTCTGAATTCATTTCGCCTCTGTATTTTAAAGCAGCAGCATCATTTAGCTTTCATGTCCATTGCCTCTTTGTCTCTCACTTGTACCCGCACCCACAATTGCTTTTCCATCTTTCAAAAATGACTGGTCTGTGTCCCTGATGTCCAGTAATAACTTCTGCTTGCGGTTTTTCCTTTAGCCCAAGGAAACTGTGGTATCTCGTTGGCGTGCTGATCCCTGGGCTCGGGGCTCATATTCCTATGTAGCTGCAGGATCATCTGGAAATGACTATGATCTAATGGCTCAGCCAATCACTCCTGGCCCCTCAATTCCAGGTGCCCCACAGGTGAGAAACTGTCAGTGTGTTTAAGCTTATTTGGGAAGAGGCCAGTATCCCAGGGTAAAATCGTCACTGATTTTTTTTTTTTTAGATTTTGGCCATTCCATCCTTGGTCCCTTTCAGATAACCAAGAGCAGAGTAAAAGGGAGGATCAGTATTATTTGTCTGATTTCCCGTGTTTGGGCTTTGTAAATCTAGGCGCAGTCTACATTCAGAATGGAAGAGCCCAGAGTATAAATCAATACTTTTTTTCTTATTAGTTTTTCCCTCTAAAAAACAAAACGATTTTAAATTGCACCTCATTTTATAGTGGTTAATAGGATTGTTGCAGGTTCTTAACCTCTAGGGGCTTTCAGGGCATGCCCTGAGAAATAACCTTGAGTCCTTATCTACACCATGCCAGACCCTGCTCCAAGGAGCAATGTGTTCCTCAGTATCATGGCCCAAGATCTGTGGCTTAGGTAAGGCCTCCTGTAAGCTGAGAGGTGAAAGTGTTCCTGAGTAAGAACAAATGCTGTTCTCTATGGTTCAGAGTAAAGATTCCTTCCCTCACCACCATCCCACCCCCAGGGGTACTACATGAGGTAGAGGAAGCTCTAGAATTGGCTATCAGTAAACTAATAAGAACAGATGCAGTTATTAAGCATCACCCTAGAACTGAGGCTGGGCTGTTTTATTGTCCCTTTCTACTTCTGTCAGTTCTAAGAAAATGCTTACTAAGGGAGACTTTTTAGTAAAATGATGAACTTAGTAATTGGGGTATCAGCTTTCAAATGTTAACAGGAATTTGGCATTCCAAATGCAAGAATAAAGGTGTAACTGCAACAGGCTGATTTTTTTTTCTCTCTGAAATAGCCAATTCCACGACTCTTCTTTGCGGGAGAACACACAATCCGTAACTACCCAGCTACAGTCCATGGTGCTCTGCTGAGTGGGCTGCGAGAAGCAGGAAGGATTGCAGACCAGTTCTTGGGGGCCATGTATACCCTGCCTCGCCAGGCCACACCAGGTGTCCCTGCACAGCAGTCCCCAAATATGTGAGGCAGATGCATCCTAAGGGAAGAGGCCCATGTGCATGTCTTTTGCTCTGTAAGCAAAGCTCTTCTAGCAATAGTAGATTCTACTGAGAAACTCCTGCCCTGGCCTGGGCTCATGATCAACTGATGGAGTTCCTGATTTTGACAAAGGAGGTTGCCTCCTTTGAGCAACTTAGAGCATAGGGAGGAACTTGTCCATTAGTTTGGAATTGCGTTCTTCATAAAGACTGAGGCAAGCAAGTGCTGTAAAATAACATCTTACTTGGTGTATGTGTGTTTTGTTTTGTTTTTTAAATACATTTTGAGAATAAAACTTCATATAAAATTAGTTCAATCTTCCCTTTGTTTCCCCTTTCGGTTGGAATTGTATATAAGAAAGGGGTGTTATTCCTTTGGAAATGCCAATTTTACCCTATGGCAATAGTAATACACGCATTTTCTGCATGAAAGAGAAGTGGTTTGGTCAAGTCAGAAGATAAGGTTAAGAGGGTCCCATAGAAGCAATAGACTTTCTGATCAGTGGGGCTAGACTTCCCCACTGGGATTGTGTGGTGCTGTGCCAAAAGTATGGATATTAGGAACTTTGGGTGAATTTTCACGGTAAAACACAAGACTTGAAACAGAGTTTTGGCCTCTGTCAGACCATTCTGACTTTATTCCCCGGATTCCCTCCATGGGTATGTGCTAACTTTATTAAAGGTATTAGCATAAGTTTTGGGAAGTATCACATAAGGAGAGATCAAGGGCTTAGGTAACTTAGCTTGTGTAACAACCACAAACTTAGTGGCTTAAAACAGAAATCTATTCTGTTGAAGTTCTGGATGCCCAAGTCCAAAATGGGTCTGCAGGGCTGTGTTTACTATGGAGGCTCTGAGGGGAGAATCCTTCTCCTTGCCTTTTCAGCTTCTAGTGGCTGGCTGTATCCCTTAGCTGGTGGCCCCTTCCTCCATCTTCAAAGCATATCACTCCAATATCTGCTTCCGCCATCAAATTGCCTTCTTGTCATCACATTGCCTTCTCTAGTCCAGTCTTCTGTCTCTCATAGGGATGTGTGTGATTACATTTAAGGCCCACTGGATAATCTCTTCCATCTCAAAATCCTTAATCATATCTGTAAAGTCCCTTTTGCCATATAAGGTAAAAACATTTTTTATAACAAAAAGGGAAAACAGTACCTGTTCCTTCACAAGGTTCCTGACAGATAAATAGTTAACAGATAAACTTATTGCAAATGCATGTAAATACTTAGCTTCTGGAAATCAGATTTTACTCATGTTAGTCAATTCTTCCTTAAAATTGGTCTAAATAAGGTTTTATTCTTGGGATTTAAGGGACAACATATTGGTGGTCTGACTGGAACATGAAAACAGGGCTTTTCCCCTAGTCTTGTGCTATGATTTGAATATTCCCCTAAAACTCACTGAAGCTTGATTCAGATTGTAACAATGTTAAGAGACTGGGAAATCAAGACTATGGTATCTGAAAGGTGGGGCCTTTGGGAGGTGATTGGATCATGAAGACTGTCTTCATGAATGGACTGACCCATTTAATGATTTAATGGGTTTTCAGGGAGTAGACTAGGGGCTTTGTAAGGAGAGGAAGAAAGCATGTGGAAATATGCCCTTGCCACTCTCACCATGTGATAACCTGCATCATCTTGGGACTCTGTAGAGAGCTGCCACCAAGAAGAAAGCCCTCACCAGATACACCCTCCCCGCCCCCAGATGTATTTCCCAGCCTCCAAAATAAGAAATAAATTTCATTTTCTTATAAATTACCTAGTTTCAGGCTTATCAGCAACAGAAAACAGACTGGTACATCTTGGATGAGGTGGCAGCAGTGGGAAAAGTTCGCACACCAGGATCAGGGCAGGTGGTGTAACTGATGTAAAGGTGAGAACAGCACGCAGTGGACAGTGTGGACTTTGGAGTACCGTCTGTAGTTGGAACAGCTCTGCCATTAACGTCGTTACCTCAGGAAGGTTGGTTAGGGTGTCTGATCCAGTGGTAGTTGTTTTTCAAGAGTTTTTGTTTTTTAAATAAATGGCACAGGCAGCTTGAAAAATAAGATGATTGTTTTTTTGTGACAACAGACCAGCCTGAAAATAAAATGTAGCAAAGAAATAGCTATTGGTTCTAACTCTAGTTCATTTATGTAGGTATTAGGCATGTCCTTTTCCAAGCCTCAACTAAAGCTTCCAGTCTTTACAGCATCATTAATTTGGCTAAGTGGTTTAAGTAAAATACTAGCTGCACCAATGCGTAGAAAACAGCTACACATAGACGACATCAACAAAACTGACATCACTGACAAAGCATATGGAAACTAGGGAGCTTTATTGGTTACATATTGTGCTGCAGAGCCAACAGCATTAGAGCTAGAGGATACATGCAGACAGGCAGCTTCAACTATACACATGCACCCAAGGAGCCCTGAGCCTTTGCTCATGGCTTTGCCCTGGTTTCCAGAGACAGGTTCCGGCCTCCTTGGTCCCATGCTTGGAGCAGGAATGTAGAAGCTGCTGTACCTAAACTCCAAGGGGCAGGGGTGAAACCACAGCACCTGTCTGAGGGAGTCGGTGTGGACCAACAGAGACTGATGCCCCCAGCAAAGGGGGCTATAATGCAATTAACAGTTTATTTGAGGGCTACCTTCTTAGCCCTCCCAATCTTTAAAATACAAAAAAATAAACTTTATTCTCTTAAAAATACATTCCATTCAGTATATGTTCTAAGCTGTGAAGCAGCAGGAAAATAGGGCCCCTTTCCTATGACCATGGTTGTGAGGCTTTGAGGAGAGCCCTCCCCACTTGGGGTATTCAAAAGATAATCCCTAAAAGCAGCTCTTCCAAAGCAGTCTTGTCAGAGTAACAAAAATCCCACACCAACAAAGGCAGCCAGGGACCCAGCCTCTGGGTCCCTAATTCCTTTACTGGGAAGTGGTAGCACTTGGCACTGACCCACTAAATATAAAGAACTAAAACTGCTCCAGGACAATAAGTCCAAGAACACTATAGACCCCCCACACACACACCTCTAGCACCCCATGAGAGGGGGATGATTTATGTGCAAGCTTGCCTGCAGCTGAGGGAGTTCTTGCAGATCCCTTTAACCCATGCTATAGCTGTTTCATTGCCACTCAAAAGCAAAGACAGCCACAGCTTTGTCTGCCACCCCCACAACTTTCTCTGGTTGGTTTACTATCAGAGTGGCAACAGACATGCAGCAGCAGGTGGAAGAGACCAGCTCCTGGCATTTAGCTCTACTTCTTCCAGCCAAGCAGCTCTATAGTGCCCGATTCCCCAGCCTCACTGGGAGCCCTCCCACAACCATATACCTGCTGGTAAGAGTTAGAGCCAAGCTGAAGAAGTTTGTCATAAAAGTGGGTTTGCTGGCTGGGACAGTGGGAATATTTGGCTCGATTAGACCACTATTCAACTACCATGTCTCCCCCCTCTATTTGGAGGTTTCCTCCAGAACCCCTGATCATGAGGCCTGGATCCAGTCATATCATGGTTGCTTTCCAGAAATGTGCCTTCCAACTTTGGAATTTGAGAGCCAGCCTTGCCAGCCATTTGAAGCCCAGAGGAAACTGAGCCTCCAGACTTCACTTGCTATTTGTAAATGCTGAGGACATTCAAAAATAAAATCTATTACAGTGGTTCTAGAAAGTGTGCAGATTAAAGAAACAGAATACTTATCCTGAAATAACTGTTACAATCAACCCTATTGCACTCAAGGATTTCAAGATGGCAGCCCCAGTGAAAGGACATGACAGCTGTCTCTCTTCCACAGAGTATTTTGAGTAACGGCTGATGTCGGTGCTGCTAAAATGTGGAAAGATCCAGACTTTGGCACCAGGAGCTACAGCACCAGAATCCAGGGCTCCAACACCCAAAGACAAGAATTATTGGAGAGAGCTTTTTAGGCATGGCTTGGCGCCCTCCTGTTTCCATCAGCAGAGAAGGGCCACAGATTTAGTTTCTTATACCTTTGGGTTGACCGCCACAGAGGTCAATTTCCTTTGAACTCTCAGGGTTGCCAACCTGTAAAGGAGAATGGCAGGGAGGCTGTAAGTGAGGGGTTGCGGGCTTGAGCAAGCTAGTTTCTGGCCAGTGACCCAAGAGAAGCACAGCAAGAAGAGATCTTGAAAACAGCCTCTTAAATTGTGCGTCTGAGGTGGGGATGTGGAGAGGAGAGGCAAGCCACGTGACAATGCCCTTTGATTGGCAAAACTCCAGAAAACAAGTATAAGCAAGATGTTCCTGTCCCTGAAAGTAAGGTAGGTGCTCCCAAGCCTCTTCAGGATTGCTGAGTCTGATGCAGAGAAGGGCGGGATGAACACTGGTTCCCATGCTGAGTGGAGGCAGAGATGACTCAGAGTCCTCTGGAGGAAGTCTCACATCTTCCTCTTCCCAGGAAATTCATAGGAGAGGCACAGGAACAGGAGATACACAGACTTAAGTTATGGAAACCACCCTGGCCTGAAAGCCAGGAGATACTATGTGGCATTGGATAAGGCTGGTGCCACAAAGGGCCTCAACGACCATCCAATCTCATTTCTTCACTCTATAGACTGGAAAACAGACTTACTTAGCGAACTTCTCTGAGTTCATCCCCATGAGATTAAAACATGGGGAAAACAAAGCATAAGGCCCACAAAAAGTACAGAAGGCAGAAAGACACATTCCTGAAACCCATGGGGATGATACCTTCTAAAAGCAAGAATCACCCCACACTGGATGGTGAAAACAGAAGAATCTTAGAATACCAGATTTAAGGACCTTAGAAATCCATTCATTTCAAAGAACTCACTTTACAGATAGGAAAACTGAGGCTCCAAGAGGACAATGTCTCACCCAAGGCCACCCAGCAAAGAACAAAGCCATGAAGAAAAACACAGCTTTCCAGACTCCTAGTCTAATGCTCTCATTTGCTATGAAGGCAATAGCATCTGCTTCATAAAAGTGACCTTTGAAGGGATCTCTTCTTTGAATCGAGAGACTGCTATAGAAAAAGAAGTGCCAAAAATATGTACTTCTTTTTAACTTCCACATGTGATTGGTATAAGAAACAAAATCAATTTTTATTTATGTGGCTTGCTGAAAGGTTTGCTGCACTTTGAATTATATAAACCTGAGGCCCTCAATGGGCATGTATCACCTGTCCTCCAACAAAGTCATCATAATGATAGTCAATTTGCAGAAATCATGGGCCCATTTCTGTAGGAATGCATCAGCTTGGTAAAGTGCAATCCCTCCTCCATGGGGGATGAAGGAGGAGGAACAGGAGAGAGTATTCTCATTGTCTGCGCCTTTCATGGAGCTATTGCTTGTGGAGTGACTGAAGGGAAGTCGCTTCTTCTGCTTTTCCCCTTGCTGGGCACTTCCTAGAAAGCAGAGTATGCTGGGGTCAGGGATTAAAATCCCAGTTTAGTTCAGGGATTTTCCAGGTGGAAACGATGAAGTCAGCCTGAAGTCTCCAGCCACAGGAGAGCAAGCAGGCAATACCAGCAGAATTACTGATGCCCAGGGAAGGAGATGCATGAGGCTTGTGCATTTCCAGGTGCCTTTGGAAGATGAGCAGAGAAAGCTGGGGTGGGGGAAGGGGTCATGTCATTCCTCTGCCCCCGGGAAACAATGGTCAGCCAGGGGGCCAAGTTGGAGAAGCTTTAACTTAAAGGGTCATCCCATAATATAATCCCTTAGAGGCAGCACAGACCTCTTCTGGTTTTTGTTGTTGGGGGAAGGGGGTGTGGGGGGGAGTGGCTGGCCTGTATAGCCTGTACAGGTATCCAAATCCTTGACCTTGGTGTTATAACAACGCGCTCTAACCAACTGAGCTAACTGGCCAGACTCAACCTCTTCTGCTTTAAAAGTCTGAAGAAAAGAACTCCAAGGGGAAAGTAATGCGGAGCCCCGAGGTGCAGCTGATGGTTAAGTTTTAGTGAGTACTTGGGCCCCTAGGGCAAACAAGGAGTGAGCTGGATGTGGTGAGGAGACTGAGAGATCAGAACATTAACCACACAGAGAAGGGGCTGCTCTGTGATACAGGAACAACACACCGAGGAGCAAAGAAGAGATTTCAGCTGCTGTTAGGTGGTGGGGGTTTCTATATCTTTCCCATTTGGGGGCCAGAGTGGTCCATACTACCTGGGGAACAGTGAAAGGAGAGGATTCATGCATCAGGGAATGCTGGGCCTGGGTGACTCTGTCCAGCTTGTAGTCTCTGATCCCCTCTGGCCAACTGGCAAAAATTACCTGAGCCACAGCCCAGCTCTCTACCACAGTCTCCCAGCCAAAGCCTTGTGTCCAGCCTGGTTAGCCGGCCTTGGATCCTTCACAGGGCAGGAAGGTGGAAGAGCTGAGAAGCAGGAGTAGAGGAGAGACAGCAGACCTCACCCGGCTGACTCAGTTTTCCTCAGCACAGAGCCTGGTTGGCCGTAATCGTTCCTCGGCCCGTACTTGCCCAGATTCTGGCAGCCCCTGCTTCACAGGCAGCTCGGACCGTTCCAGGGAATTGTGCAGTTTCCTGTGGAAACTGAGTGTGCAGTCTTCACCTTCCTCCTGTACCAATAAATGACAAAAGTGAGCTGTGGCGTATAGGATGGAACAAGACACCCTCACCTCTCATCCCAATGAGTCAGTCCTCTCCAACTTAACAGAGGCAGATATAGCCCAGACAGACCACAGCGTTAACTGCAAAGATAGGCTTTTGCCTGAGTACAGGCTGATAGAAGCTTCTTGAAACTACTGGGAACAACCAGGGTAGTCTAGGAAGCTCACAACTGAAAAGGCGCCCTACTGAGGATCAGACCTGGATGGGAGCATGGGAGTAGTACCTCTAAGCAGAGGCCAGCAATCCTTGAGTTCTGCACATGCAAGCTGCATGCTTCTGGGGGTGAGATCCATTTCCTTGGTGGTGAGCGGGGGATTATGCAGAAAAGAAGGTTGGACAGCTCTTTTTCTACTTCCCACCTATAAACTACCAAAAAGCTCACATGCCTTCCCTTTTATGTCTCGTGCCTATCTCTCATCCTGTATCTCTCCTCTCAGATGTCTCATCCTGTATCCTCTCTGATGTCCAAAGCTTCAGGGGCATAAATACCCATCTTTCTTCCCACTCCTCTTCTAGAATTCTGCCTTTTTAATGTTCTCCTTAATCCTCCCAAGCAAATGCAGATCAAATAATAGTAAGTATGAATAAGAAAGACAGGTTAGCAGGATAGAAGAGCATTGGATTTAGAGATGGGAATCTTGGATTCAAATCTTAGCTCTTTGAGTAATTCATCTGAGTGACCTCTGAAAAATGGGGATAATATCTGCCCACAGGGCTGTTCCAGGTACTAAATGTGGGTAGGAAAAGTACTTTATCATAAAGTGTTAAGTACCCTGTAAAGACTTAAGAGCTTTTCAAGTTAACACACAGCCACCTGCCTTTTTAAAGAAGGGAGTACTGTGTCTAGGTCCAAGATGTTTTTCATCATCACAGGTTCTACATCTAAAAGACATTCCTAGGGGCTTCTCCTTCAGATGCTGTTCTGACACTGACTCTCAAATAAGGCGGGTGGTTCTGGATTTACCTATCCTGTAATGAGCCATATGTAACCAGCCATTCCCTCAGACTGATGATATAATGGGCTACACAGCTGTCTGGGACAAAAGAGAGTGTCACTTGGGTATAAAACTTATAAAGTAGCTCCAGTAGAGTAGTAGAGTAGGCCCAACTCTCCTCATCCCCTATATGTCAGCAGCCTGCAAAGATCTAACTGAGGCAGCAACCAACTTGTTCACCTGGCTCCCATTTCTGTACTCCACAGAAAGGGCCCTGGGCTTCCTACTTTCACCCAGAACTTCCCATCAGCTGCAAGTTGGTTCTTCTGCTTCTATAGTTGTTGCTCTGTGAGGCCACAGGGGAGCTCCTTTGGCTGCTCTGGCAAACTAAAAGAACAGGCCATATTTCCTTTTTGTGTGTTGCCTTCAAATATGAGGGAAAAATGGAGAAGACAAACTGGAAAAGGGATTTGGGAAAGTCATGCTGCTCCCTGCCAAAAACCTTCCTCAAGTCAGGTCAGACCCACCTGATTTTCAACAGTTCTGCGAGCTACCCAGTTTCTGCCCAGTGTTTCCCAGCTCCATAGTTCCCCAAATCTTGGGTCAAACAGCCAAAGGCAGAGGGGAGAAAGGAAAGAAGGAAAAGGGAGCAAGAAAGGGCGAGGGGGGAGGGATGGGACTCACCATGCCTGCTGAATGGTTCCAGGCTGTAGCTGTGACAGTGTCTCCAACCCGATTCCGACGGGTGAGCACCTCTGACACGGTGAGGCTACTTTGGGTCCTTCTGGAGGAGAGCTCAGGGGCATCCCCTGAATTTCCTAGCCTTCGGGTGCCCTGCTCAAAAAGGTAGGACCTGGGCTGCTCAAGTTCTGAGAAGTCTGTGGAAGACCTCTGAATATAGGCATTGGTAGATTCCACGTTTTTACCTATTCGAGTAGAGGGGTCTTCTAAAGATTTCAAGTCTCGCCTGCTCTTCCAGGCATTCCGTACAGTGACATGTCTGGCGTCTGAGCAGCCCTCATCTGAAGGGGCACTATGGCTTTTCCACCTGATTGTTTCTGCTGCGGGTGCATGGCTATTCCTCTCCACAGTATCTGATGGCTTGATTATAATGCTGCTCCGAGAAACTACTGTTTCTGGCCTGTTCTTCAGAGGCCCATCTCCCATTCTTTCAGCTTCTGTGAGCTGCAAGGTGATATCATGTTTGTGAATGGAGAGCTCAAAAGGGGAGCTGACATGGTTGCTAGCTGATGTAAGCTCTGGTGCCCCAACCTGGATGTTGCTGGTGGATGTGTGCCTTTCCCTCAGGGCCTCACCTAAGGTGGCCCTAGGGCTGCTGCTGTCAGAGGGATAGATGGTAATGCTGCTTGTCACTTTGTTTGGACCTGGTTTGGAAGTGGATTTCTGTTTCTCCAAAATAGCCTCAGCTCTAGATCCTCCCATAATTTTTTTCACATCCTTATCAATGATAACAGGTTTGATGACGGCTCTAGACCGCAAGGCCTCTCTGGGGCTAAAGGGCCTTTGGCTTTTTACCCCAGCACCATTGATATCTGGGAATTCTGTGGCATTGGTGGAAGCTTTGACAGGTTTCACAGATTCATTCTCCATCCCAGTATCTTTATCATTCTCAAACAGGGAGGTTCTAAGTCCCCCTCGGGATTTGGCCTTTTCTCTGGAGTTAGGGTATAGTTTGGGCTCGGGCTCTGGAGTGATGGTTGTGTTCACCAACTTGGCAGTAACAAGAGATGCTATGTCCAAGTCATCGTCTGAGTCTGGCTTCTCTGTGCCACTGGATTTGATGACTCGACACCTCAGGGCTTCGTGCTGACTGCTGTCTTCCATCACAACTGCTACAGGGTGATCAACTCCTTCTTTATTTGGGGTTGAAAAGCCCTGAAGGATGTTCTCTTGGCTTCTGGAGCTGTAAGGATACTTTGATAAAATAGGAGCCTTGGAATTTGGGGAACTGGTATCAGCCTCTGGACCATTAACAGCCTTTTTGCCCTTAGAGATCCCTTCTGAGGAGGATCTTCGAGATGAGGCCAGAGGCCCAACAGCCTTAGAATAGCCAGAATCTGTGGCCTGAGTTATCTGACTTCCACTGCCAGGCATCTGTCCCCTCTTGCCAAAGACGGCCTCAGAGGTGTCAGAGGCCTTGTCAGCTCTACCCAATGTGTCATTGGGAACAGATCCATGGGTGGTGTCACTAAATGTTCGTGTTGTCTTCTCTGCTTTTCCCTTCAATCCGCTCTCAGTGCCTGGCTTGGGAGTTCCCTTCCAAACTTTATTGTGCTCCTGAGCAGCTGGGGGGTACCGGCTAAGCACTGATGGCTGCTCCCTGCACTTCTTCCCTTCACTCTGAGAGGATCCAGGTGCAAATCGGTCTTCAGTTCTCTTTGTCTCCTGAGACCCACTGTCTGTACCTGCCCCCATATTGGAAGCTTTGGCTGCTCTCCTGTTGGTGAAACTGGGAGAGGAAACCTGCCTGCTGCTCAGAGAATAGTTCTCATTGTTGAGAGCAAACTCCCTGTTTCGGAGCCTTTCCCGCTTATGCTGAGGAGACAGTTCTCGGGATATGTGCTTGGACACAGATGCCTCACTCCCATGGCCTCTAAACTTAGTCCTCTCATGCCTGCCTTTGCTGGACAGGAAAATATCTTCCCCTTCCACCTCCCCATTTTCCAACTCTTTCTGTTTCTTGATTTGGAGCTTTATCTCCTCCAGCTGGCTGGCTAAAAATTTGTTTTTATTTTGTTCACTTAGGTAATTATCCTGAAGATCATTATTTTTGGCTCTCATTTTCTTAAGCTCTTCTTCCAAAGATTCAAAATGTTTGATTTGCGTCTTAAGTTTCTCAATCTCTTGGTTAAGATCTTTGACTTTGTTGTCTTCTTGATTTTGGTTTTTTTCATTTTCTGATTTGTTTCTTGTTTCATTCTCTACCTGCTTTAGATAGTCCAGAGTGCCCTTCCTTCTCGATTCTTTGGATGGCAGAGTGGAGGAGATACCATCTTCAATCCGCAGGTCATTCCTTTCTAGAAGATTAGAAGCATTCCTTGTATAATCTCGGTTAATTTTTTTGTTCTGCTCTAGTTTTTGAGTGAGCTCTTTTATCAACTTCTCATTTTCTTTCTCCTTTTCATTCAAGTATTTTCTCTCACTTACAAAGCTCAGAGTTAATGATTTCAACTTTTCTAACTCTGACACTAAATTCTGCTCAGTTTTATCCAGGCGGTCCTCAGAAGATTCTAGTTCTTTCACTTTAACTCTGAGCATTTCCAGCTCAGAGGAGATTTTCTTGGTCAGATTTCTCTCTTCATTCAGGCTCAAACAAAGCTGGGTACAGTCATTCTTACTCCTGCTAAAGGCCTCCTCTAGCTTCTCTAATTCAGCCATTCGTTTCTGAAGCCGCTCAATCTCAGATTTCAGCTCCCGAGTGAGGTTTTCCTCCTCTTCAAGTTTCTCCTTCATCAGATGACACAGATCCTCTGCTCTCTTAATTTCCTCATCTTTCCCTTCTATTCTCAGCACCTGCTGGCGTAGTACTTCAATTTCAGCCAACATGCTGGAGTTGCTGCCTTCCGCCTGAATCACCTTGTCCTGAAGATCCAGGAGCTCATCCTCTGCTTTCTGGAGGTTTTTTGTCGCTGGCGTAGTACTTCAATTTCAGCCAACATGCTGGAGTTGCTGCCTTCTGCCTGAATCACCTTGTCCTGAAGATCCAGGAGCTCATCCTCTGCTTTCTGGAGGTTTTTTGTGGCTTCCTCCAACTCATCAAGGCGGCGACTTAGACTCTGTAACTTAAACCGCAGGTGGCGGCTGGAGGCAGTATCCTTGTAGCTTGCAAATTCAGCCATGTCTACTGCCAGCCAATGTGGGCTCCTAGAGGCATCCAATTCCACTCGGGGGGTTGAGAAATGGTTACCTTTCTCTTGGCATCCACAACCTTCTTTGGCAGCTGGAAACCATTATCAGTCTACAGAAGGAAAGCAGAAAGCATGTCAGTCAGCAACTAAAACCTGTACTTTAGCTCCCAGTTGTGAAAGAGCTCCCATCTATTATAATCCTTGTGCCTGGAACGTAGCAGGTACTCAAATTTGTTGAATGAATGAACCTGCAAAAAAACACTGGTTTATGGCCAATATTGAGCTGATACCTAGTTTCATCCTAATGAAGAATGCTATCAGGGGCAGCATGGCAAAAAGATGCAGAAGAAGGCCTCAATTCTAATGACAGGTTATAAGAAAATCTTTACCATTTGCCACCTCCATAATCTCAGAAGAGACATTAACAACCTTCTAACAAGTCATTAAATAAGTAAACTGAGCCTCAGTTTTATTTAGTTGTAAAATGGGGATAATGACACCTACTATATCTCCTCCCAGTTTGTTCTGAGATAATACATAGAAAGCTCTTGGTAACAAAGCACTAAACAATCCAAAGAATATTACAAGGAAAAAGTTCTCTCTCATGAGCTACTGACTTAAAAATAACATAAATTAATCCATCCACCTTGCTATATAAAATGGTGACCTTCAGACACCTATTTTCAACATATCTTCTCCCAAAAGTATGGGTATATTTGTAAGTGGACTTTAGGTTATTACTTGGCCCTGGCCAACCCAACAGGTAGCAACAGAAATGCCCCAGACATTCCAGGTTGATGTGAAGACTGATTTGTTTCTTAGAAAACCATCTCATTGGGGATATACACCAAATATATCATATGTTACTATTCTAAAGAAAGGGAGAAAAAGGAAAAGTCAAAGTGGACTTCAGTTTTGTATGTAATTTCCTCATTTTTAAAATAGGTGAATGGATTAATACATGTATTTTTAAATAACAGAAGGGAAGAAAATAACTGAAAATAACTTTTCATCCACAGTAAGTTCTACAAAATTAAAAAGCAGAAAAGACACTTCACTTCCATTTCCACCAGTATGGCAAACAAGATAACCTGAAAAACCTCTTATACTGTAAACACTTAAAAAATACTGAATAAAATATAACAATCATTTTAAATGAATGTATGGTTGATCTCCTAAAAAGTAAGGGTATGCTAGCTAAAGCCAGAGGAAAAGAAGACTGAAGGAAAAAGAAGAGCAGTAAATTTAAACTACCACTGAGCTGTCCTAATAGGGTTTTGCAAGTCTCCAGACTTAACAGTCATGCAGATATAAGAGACAAGGGCTTGAGCCCTTGGTGAGTTAGAAACAAGACCTCAGTCCTCAACCTAAAGCAAGGACTACTGGAGAGCTACAGCTTCAGAAAAAGGTGTTGACTAGTGAAAGAAAAAAAAAAAAAAAAAAAAATCCTAACACAGGGAGATAACAGGACCTGAGCACACTCCCACTTGAGTTCAGAGTTCACGTTTAAATTTTTTGAATGGTCTGGGACCAAGTTGCCCTCACTGAGAAACTAACATAAAATTATATCAGCCTGGTAATATCCCTGGGAAACCTATCAGAGTAAACAACAGTACTCTGGAGTATGAAGATACTCCCTACCGAGGTTGCACAGGTCCCACAGATAAACTCCAGCAGAACCTGAGTTTATAATTCTAAGTTACAAAATACATAAAGACCAATTTTTACTATGACTGAGCAAAGTGGGTTTATACCAATAAGAACCAAAGTCAATAAAATTATTGACTAGAGACCATAAGTAAATTTGAATGTTTAAAGTCACAAAAGAAGGAATGAAACACAGGAGAAAGGAACAAGGTATATCAACAAAAATCAGAAGATTTGAAAATTAAACAAATAGAACAGCTAAAAATAGAAAAAAGAATAGTACATTAGATGCAAATGAAGAGAAAATAGCAGTCAAGAAGAGATATGACAAAATTACAAAAGGCAGCACAGAGTTTAAAAGATGGAAAAAGTGAAATAGAGGTTACTAAACAGAAGAAATAAAATAAAGAGGTCCAAAATAAGGAAGTTTAACAAGCAGCCTCCTAGGAATGAATAGAGAGAATGGGGGACAGGCCATATTTGAAGAGATACTGGCTAAGAATTTTCAAGTGTTGATGAAAGATATGGACCCTCACATTCAGGAAGCAATGCCCCAAACAGGAAAAAACTAAACCTGCACCTAGACACATCATAAGGATACAGAAGGATAACACAAAGAGAAGATCTTATAAAAGTAACAAGGAAAAAAAGACAATTGTCTCAGTCCGTTTGTGCTGCTATAACAAAATACGTGAGACTGGGTAATTTATAAAGAACAGAAATTTACTTCCTCATAGTTCTGGAAGCTGGGAAGTCCAAGATCAAGGTTTGGTGTCTGGTGAGGGCCCCAGTCTCTGCTTCCAAGATGGCGCCTCGAACACTGTGCCCTCACACGGCACAAAGGATGGATGGGCAAAAGGGGTGGAACTCACTCCCTCAAGCCCTTTTTTAAGGGCACTAATCCCATTCATGAGGACTTGGCCCTTATGGCCTACTTACCTCCTAAAGGCCCACCTCTTAATAATGTTGCACTGGGAATTAAGTTACAACATGAATTTGAGGGGACACAAACATTCAAACCCTAGCAACAATCTGTGAAGAAATAACAAATGAACCACTTCTCAGCAGAAACTTTTTAAGTAGGTGGCAAGTAGAAGACAAAAGACATGATAATATCTTTAAAGTTCTAAGAGAAAATAACTATAAACCTAGTAGTATGTACCCAGCTAAATTATGAAAATGAATTAGAAATACTTTCAGAACTAATAAATAGAAAATTAAAAAGTGAGCGTTTAACAGACCCTCACTGCAAGAACTACTAAAGGATGTAATTTAGAAGACAGAAACATATCCCTTAAGGAAGGCATGAGCTGTAATAAGGAACGGTAAGCAAAGAAATTTACCCAAAGAAGCACTGACTCAGTTAAACAATAAAAATTAACTGGAAATGGGGGTTAGAGGAGAATGCAGGATAAAACCTAAATGAACTAAAACACTGGACAACAATAACTTGTAAGTCATAGAGTGAGAAATCAGAATTCAAGTGTTCTAAAGACCTTGTATTGTTTGGGGAAAGGATAGAGTTACAATTAATTTTAGACATTATTTAAAATAGACATTAATAAGGGGCTAATATTCAGAATATATAAAGGACTCTGATGGAGTTTGGATGTGTTGTCCCCTCCAAAACTCATGTGGAATTTTGATCCCCAATGTGGCAGTGTTGGAAACTGATTGAGTCATGGGGTGGATCCCTCATGAATGGATTAATGCTCTCCCTGGGGGGGAGGGGATTAATGAGTGAGTTCTCGCTCTATTAGTTCCCGCAAGAGCTTGTTGTTTAAAAGACGCTGGCACCTCCTCTCTCTCTCTTGCTTCCTCTAACCATGTGATCTGCTTGTACCTGCTGGCTGCCTGCCACTTTCTGCCATGAGTAGAAGCAGCCTGAGGCCCATGCCAGATGCAGCTGTCCCAGAATTGTAAGCCAAGTAAACCTCTTTCCTTTATAAATCACCCAGTCTCAGGTATTTCTGTTATAGCAACACAAAACGGACTAAAACAGACTCTTAAATGCAACAACAACAAAAAACAAATAACCCAATTAAAAAATGGACAATGGAAATGAGTAAATATTTCTCCAAAAGATGATATATAAATGACTGACAAGCATATGAGAAGATGCTCAACATCACTAATCTTTAGGGAAATACAAATCAAAACCACAATGAGATAGCACCCCATACCTCTCAAAATGGTTACTATAAAAAAAAAAAAAAACCCACAGAAAATAACAAGTATTGACATGGATGTGGAGAGACAGAAACTTGTGCACTGTTGGGAATATCAATGGTACAGTTGCTATGGAAAACAGAATGGCAAAAAATTAAAAATAGAATTACCATATGATCCAGTAATTCTACTTCTCTGTATATATCAGGAAAAATTGAAAGCAGGATCTTGAAGAGATATTTGCACACCCATATTCATAGCAGCACTATTCATAATAGCCACAAAGTAGAAGCAACCCATGTCCACTGACAGATAACTGGACAAACAAAATGTGATACGTACATACAATGAAATATTATTCGGTCTTAAATGGGAATAAAATTCTGACACATGCTACAACAACATGGATGAACCTCGAAGACACTGTGCTACAAAAAAAAGAAAAGAAAAGAAAATGTGGTTTTAGGGCTGGCAGGTTAGCTCAGCTGGTTACAGCACAGCCTTATAACCCCAAGGTCATGGGTTCGGATCCCCATACCAGCCAGCCGTCCACCCCACCAAAAAAGGGGGGAAAAATGTAGTTTCATGAGGACACTGTGCTAAGTGAAATATGCCAGTCAGAAAAAGATACTGTATAATTCCACTTATATGAGGCATCTAGACTAGTTAAATTCATAGAAACAGACAGCAGAATAGTGGTTGTCAAGGGCTTGGGGGAGGGGGATATGGTGAGTTGTTTAATTGATATGGAGTTTCAGTTTTGCAAGATGAAAAAAATTCTGGCATGCTAACACTAATCAAAAAAAGCCAGCACAGCACAAACTTCAGAGCAAAGAAAGTTATTAGGGATAAAGAGGGGAATTACACAAGAAAAAGGGGTCAGTTCTCCAAGAAGACATAATAATCCTTAATGTGTATGCACCTAACAAAACAGCATCAAAATACATGAGACAAAATCTGATAGAACTGCAAGCAGAAATAGATGAATCCACTATTATAGTTGGAGACTTCAATACCCCCTTTCATAAATAGACAGATCCTGGGCCGGCCCGGTGGCACACTGGATAGTGCGCCGCTTGGGAAGTGTGGCGGTGCTCCCGCCCGAGGGTTCGGATCCCACATACGGACCGGCCGCTCACTAGCTGAGCGAGGCGCGGGAGCGACACCAAGGGTTGCAATCCCGTTGCCGGTCCCCGGTCCGGTGCGGGGGCAACACTGAGGGTTGCGATCCGTTGCCGGACACGGAAAAAGACAAAAAAAATAAAAAATAAAAATAAATAAATAAATAGACAGA